GGAGCGGAGGAAAGGGCCATTTTCTTGCTTCTTTCACCAGTGGGAAAACAGATTTGTTCCTTCCTATATTTTATGCTGCCACTGCCAAGCAGCGGCCAGGGAGCAGCAGGAGAGGCTGGCAAGCACCACTCTGCAGCAGAGCCTGGCATGTACTCACTCCTAGGATGGGACAGCCAAGCATCTTCATCAGCTCTCCTCATTTGCAGCGTGGAAGGTCGAGCTTAGGAGAGCTGGAATAAGCCAGTACCCTCCACACATTGAAACCTGGACCGCACAGTCCCCTCACTATGCAACACACATTTGGCAAATAGATATGCAAAGCCCCCCGGGCAGCCTCGGGCGATTGCTGTGCCATTTGACAAAAAGCTCATTTGGATTTTGAACCCAACCACACAGTTTCTGTGAAGGTAGAGATATTAAATGGGTATTTCTTTCCCAGCCACGATGCTGGCCACCTCAGCCTGCCCCACGGGGAGGAACCAGCGCTCTGCAGAGCCACAGGCACAACCTGGGGCTCATGGAAGCCAGGCTGGACTCCTCTCCTTCCAGTGCCAGAAAGGACATACTTTCATGAAAATAAAGAAGTGGCAAATACATCCCATGAAAGAAAATGAGAGGCAAATAAATTGCTTAGAGAAAGAAAAAGGAATGGAAAAAAAAAAACCACCAAGAAAGAGGATGTCAGAAAAACCAGAAAAACCCCAAGAAGTAGCACAGAAGAGCAACTGATGGGGATGCCAGCTTTCATCTATAAAGAAAACCACAATTGTTACAGGAGAGCATGGTTGCCACCAGTTTCCATTATAAATAGCTCCATTTTAGCAACTGTTATAGGGCTTGGAAAACTAGTTTAAGGTTGAAGAAAATTGCTATGTTAACTGGCAAAGCATGGGAGAGTATTTCTGCAAGGTCTTAAAAAAAGGAATAAACTGGTACTTAGTAACAAATCTTTCACTGTGACTTCAAAACCAAGTCCATTATCTTACTTCAAAGTAACCAACCAAGCCAGTAAAATAGGAGAGAAAACATTTTGCTAAGATGGGGAAAACAAAACAAAAAAAAAAAGGAATAAGAAGCTGGAACACAGCCTTCAAGAGCAGCACATCTCATCCCAGAGCAAAAGCATCTTGGCTGGGAGGTATGTTCAGGAAAGTCCAGAACAAGGCAGAGAACCCACACTGAGGAGGAGTTAAACCAGCCACGTACAGAGACATACCCATCCTCAGTCTACACTGCCAAATCCCAGTTTTGGAAATGGGTGAACTATTGGGCACAAGCATGTGAGGGAAAAGGAAATAATTGAAAAGAGTTGGAAAGGACCTTAAAGATCATCTAGTTCCAACCCCCTGCCATGGGCAGGGACACCTCCCACCAGATCAGGTTGCTCAAAGCCCCATTCAGCCTGGCCTTGAACATTTCCAGGGATCAACCTGAACCAGAAGTGATGTACTCTTCCAGTGAAGTAGGTTCACATTAAACCTCTTAAACTGAGGCTTAGACTACTTCAAGACAACCACAGAAACAGCAGTGAGGAAATCTTCACTTTCTAGTAGTGAACCTGAACAGGCTCAGCCCCCAGCATGCCCAGATGAATGGCTTGGAGAAAGCGGAGTCAAAAGAAAAAAAGGAAAAAGAATCACAGAATCACAGAATCTTCGAGGTTGGAAGGGACCTTAAAGATCATCTTGTCCAACCATCAACCTGACTGACAAAAATAGACACCCACACAACAAACAAGGAGCATCATCACTAAACCAGACCTCCCAGCACTACATCAACCCGTCTTTTGAACACCTCCAGGGATGGTGCCTCAACCACCTCCCTGGGCAGCCCATTCCAGTGTCTGATAACCCTTTCAGTGAAAAAATTTTTCCTAATATCCAGCCTGAACCTCCCCTTGCGTAACTTGAGGCCATTTCCTCTTGAAAAAAAGCGCAACTTGAGGCCATTTCCTCTTGAAAAAAAAAAGGTGCTGCCATGCTTCAACCAGACTGTAACGCACACAAGGAAACCCAGCAGCTGTGGGCATCACTCTGGCTGGGATGCTCACGCGCCAGCATCAAGCAGAGGCAGACAGGCATGTGCCCCACCATACCTGGAATGCTTCCCTGCAGCCATTCCTCCTCAGGTTTGGGATCAGATGCCGAGGAGATGAGCTGCTCAGAGCCTTCCTCGCTGGTGGCAAGGTCCCCACGTGTCGCTGCTCCCTCCACTGATGCATCAAACTCTCCATCGGCACTTCTGCTCTCTGGATCAAGTCCTTCAAGTGATGGAGAGCATGAAGGTGAGTCAGGTACCAAGTGGCTTTCTGTGGGCCAGGAGGGCTTCTGCCACATGCCCAAACCTCCAGTGGCTGAAACAGCTGACCTGTGGAGGCCCATAAAGACTGTTGCTGGGTGATACAGTCCTTCTGGCACAGATGTCTTAATGCCAACTCCTGCCTGTCTTCCAACCTGCGGAATCTGAAAAACACATGTGGGAGATGGCTTAAGGAAACAAACAGGCAGCATGTTGCAAATGGAACTTCTAGAGGATCAAGTGTTGATTTCTGGAGAGAAAACTGTAACAGAATTCAAGTATTTTGTATAGCATTATTACACAAACACTTGGCATGCCTTTCTTGCATGCTAGTGCAAGAAAGGGCCTGGATCTCAAGTGAAGCTCCATGAAACAAAACAACTAGCACCAAAAACAAAACAAACACCCAACCTGACTAACAGGGACTGAAACACATAAAGGACTCAAATTAAACTAAACAGTAACTGGTTTTTACACCAGCAGGCAAACTTTTAAAATTAGATTCCTTCAAAGGCTTCTAAAACCCTGGACCAAAATACGATATTTAGATCTACCCACCAATGTCACTGAAAATACCTTGAAGTTGCTGACTTAGTGTTCTATTCATGACTCTGTACAGCTGCTGGCAGCCAGTGATTTAGGTACCACAGCATCCTGAAGCCAAGACATGATCATTAGGACCCCATTGCAGTGTCCGTGGCACAACTGGCCTTTCTGGAGCCACCTGCAACAGCTGCTCTGAAAAACTTCCTCCTCCCACTCTTCTCATGGTCTTCTCTAGAAGGCAACAGGATGAGGAAGGGTCCTCAGAGAGTTTTAAAGGTACATCTGCCATGACTTATTTGTCTGTATCTCAAGCTTTGCTCACAGCCCATCAATAAAGTAAACAAGAATGAGGAAAAAAAAAAAAATCACTTTATTCATTGTCTTCTTTCTGCTTGTTCCCATCTGTTAGATCATGCTAAAGAGGAAGAATGGCTACTCAGCTAACGCCACACAGATCAAGTCACATTTTCCACAAAGCAACTTTGGGCACCAAGCAGAAATATGTTAAATGGCACTTTCCTCCAAGAACTGTTGAACTTGCATAAAAATAGTTCCAACAGTATAACCACTCCGCTTCTAAATCCCAGCGTTTTAACACTTGCCTTTTTTTCCTTTGTAAATCTACTCAATCAGAACAATTTAGAAGGAGGGGCTACTGCCACTACTACTACTAAAAGGTCACCACCAGTTTATGCAAAGCCAAAATTAGCTATTGTAATACCATTGTTCATACTAAGCAGGGTTTAGTTTTCAGCCCCAAATCACAGCAAGACAATTTACAGTCACCTCCACACCTCTCTCCTCCCTTTCATTGCCTGACCTCTTCCTACCATACAAAGTCAGCTGCCAAGCCCAGCTTGAAGGAAACAAAGGCATCTTGTCTAGTCTGTGACCAAGTTTCATTAAAAAAAGCTCAAATTCCACATAACAAGCAGCAGAACAAAAACCCATGAAGTTATTTTAGGAGGAGTAAAGGTTTGCTACTCAGATTAAGTTTACAGCTTATTCCATCACCACTGCTCTCGGCCTTCTCCTAATTACTTTTCACATCATGGATTTGCTGCTTTAGAATGCATCTAGCAAGTACTTTATGGATTTAGCAGCTCCTGGATGTAGTGTTCCAAAACAAATGCAATTCAAGCAGGTACAAGTGCTTGGCAGAGTCATAGCAGACATGTATCTCTAACAAGCTCCTCTTTGATTGCAGGAAAAAAATAATAATCTCTTCACCACTTTTGCATTCTCAAAGCAAAACTATGACAGATAATATCGGTCTAGGTACTGGTTTTGCCACCAAAAACAGTAAAAACATGTAGATGACCCACCTAAAACAGTCAACACAATTACTGAACTTCATGTTGCTCCAGCTGGGAGTTAAATGAAGTCTCTGCACAAAGCACACTTAACAATCCTCTTTTTGCTTGTGGAGTGCAGGCTCCCCACTTCTTCCTCCAGTAACAAATATGATCTTTCTTTTATTATCATTAAAGTGTTTGGAAGAGAACAAAGATAAGAAAAAAAATGCCTTCCATTAAGACTTACAAAAGGGCACAGTCTCTGCTGTCAGTAGACCACCACATGAAAGCTAGGGAGGTGAGGTCAAGCCAGAGGCTCATCATTTTCAGGTGGCAGTGTCACTCTCACCTAGTGACACCTCCTTCTTCATGGAAGGATGCTCTGCCACCCACAGGTGTCCCTGGGAGGTGCCCTATGGCCTGTGCCTTACAGACACGGCAGTGCCAAGATGCACAAGTCCAAAAATCTTCAAGAGACTTCAAGGAAGTGCTTCAAAGTTGAAGAAGCCAGACTTCATTGCACAAAGGTGTCAGAAGCCCACGTTACACAGCAAGGACCTCTTCAGTACAGGACCTCTCCTTCAACTCTTTAACACTGGATTCCTCTTACACTGGACTTCAAAAGACTAGTGCTCAAGTCCTTTCCATGGAGAATCATGATTTTCTAGTCAAACACTCTTTGGGAATATGATTTCTAAGCCCGAGGACTCTAGAGTCCAAAAGAGCACGTATCCCATGGCTCAGAGAAGGACCAGGTATTCACATTGGTGTTTTAGGGGCATTGGGATACTGACCCCAGATTGCTTCTGTGATTGTTCTTCTTGGTCTCCAAGATGCATCACTGACAGGGTTATCACACAACCACCGGCATGCTGACTAGCCTGAAGGAAACCATCATGATACCAGTACTGGCAAGTAACACTGGTTCCAAGCTGTGATGATTTGCATGTCGGATATACCACCTGCTAACCACAAATGCTCCCTACAATTACTCTGTGCCACATCACCAAGAACAAACTCTTGGGTTTTGGACATGAGAATAAGCAGATTTTAAGTTAGGTGAAGGTGGTGGGAAACAGGCACAATCAGTCCAAACAAAAAAACAAAACACAAACCACACAGTTACAGAGTAAGATCTGAGACACAGCACACAAACAAGGCAAGGATGCATAATTTAGTTGAAGTTATCTTTGGATTTATGAAGGGAGATGAGAAGGAGAAAGAAGGGGGACAGGGGAGGAAAAAGTCCACTATCAAGCTATTAACTGTAATGCAACATGAAGTGACATGACTTGGTACACACCAAGTTCTTGTAATGCCCAAAACCTGCTAACAGTTTTTAAAAATTTAAGTCAGACTGTAAGCCTTTGATGTTCTAGTATTTGTTAACTTTTCCATAGGTTAGAAATCACGTCTCCTACAGCGACTGCTTTTAATTTAAGAATCTAGCATTCAAAAACAAACTCACCTTTCCACACACCTCTGAATTAAAAACATAATTCGCAAACTGCTGGAGGCCTGCTTATATAGGTCAAGGTTGCTCGGGTTCATTGCTTTGTATATTACAGTTTAAAGAATGCTCTAAATTCAAGGTGTTTAACTTTTTAATCTATGGGGAAAACTTCCTATAAACTCAGATTAACGACTGCTAATGCACTGAAGAAAGAAAACCCAAAACCTTCCTCCTACTATAAAAACAAAATAGTGTGGCCTCTGTTTCTTTTCTGATAAGAGTCTTAAATACCAAACATTTAACTGCATAATAACATTTACTGGCAGCAAGGCAGCCTGCTTAGTAGATATATAAAGCAGGTAAAAGGAGAAAAAGTTAATTTCTTGGCTGAATGATTCCATCGGTAGCTATAGGGCAAACTAGAAAGTCTTTTAGTAAAGTAGCAGTTGATTCTTCTATCAATCTGCAGCACACATACTCTTCCAAGGAATGCATTAAATATGAAAATCATATCCCGTTATCATCTGTTTCCAGCTTTCAGCCCAGTAAGCTTTTCTTAATGAATGCTGTAGCCTAAGGGACAAGCATGCTGTTGGCTTCTCTGAATAATGGAGTGATGCTACCATTTTTGCTTATTACAATATCGACTAGCTGAGGGGGTTTCACACATAGTCACAAGTGACTACTCTTGCCAGCATGCTCCAAGTTATTACAAGATGTTTTTAGACATTTCATCTAAAAGAGCTTTACTGCTTTTAGTGAAGAAAACAGCCATGGTCTTGAACTGTATCATTTATATGGAGATAGGAGGAGGGATTAGAAGCCTGCATTACTGCAGATATATAGCGGAATATATTTAAGTATTCCTTGTCAGTCTTTTTGTCTGTTACTTAGATATGCAATCTCTTTTTGCTTCTTCTGAGAAAAAGGTCAAAACGCACAAAATTATAAATACACCATATGAATCAACTGCTGCATTTAAAAAAAAATAAATATATCATTCATTAAGAATATTTCCTCCTCGGTCAAGACCATTTTCACACTATTTGGCATAGGAATTATAAAAAGCAGCATGAAGATGAATATAACCAGAGTTCTCCCCGCTTTTTAATTCTAGTTCTTTGGTTGAAATAATTGCACTTTTTTTTCCCCAGATTATTCTACTTCACTCAGGCACTAAACAGTATTTCATACTACAACTGCCACAAGGAAAAAAATCCCCACACGAGGACTGCTTAGCAATGCCTGCCTCCTCACGCAGCACAAAGCAATAAACCACATTCCCCCCACACTTCTCCTGCATTACCTGCATTATCCTGTGCTCCTCGGCCTCGTCACCTTCTGCCAACAAGTCACCCTCTTGAAGGGGTAACACACTTTTCAGTTCTGTTCCGTACCATGCCTAAACGGGGAACAAATCCATTACATAAAATTGAAAGCCAAAAAAAGCCCCCCATCACCAATCAACAAATACTTTGCAAATCGTGCACTTTTAAATATAATGTCCCAGCAGCATTTTTCACTTCGACTATATTTAAAAAGCCAGAGATCCCATTTTCTCCTAATTTTTCTGCTTCCCTGAACAAATGACATGGCCTGTACACAATCTTCTGCAGGTTTTTAATACATATTTATTTATTCATGTAATTTAGACTCCTACAAAATACTAATAACTTGTTGACTCAAATTTATCTCATCCCAACTAGTATTTGTAAGGCTAAATTATTTCTGCTGTATCCAGACAATGACTCTGCTGCTTTTGGATGAAACGAGCTTTAGAATTTGTTTTTGCTTTACATACATCATTGAGCTATTAGAAGGAAAAATATATGGCAGATGTTAGAAGGAGCAACCCAGCATGAAAGGCAACTTGCTGTAGTGTTACTAACAAACAACTGCATAAACCATCTTCACCTCCACTACATTGTTTAATTGACCAAATGTAATGCATTCATAGTAGGACTACTGCTTAAAAGCCAAGCACATGCAGCACCTATAATTAATCCTGTTTGTTAGTAATTGTAAACCCCAATAACAAGTTACATCGGCCCTGAATGAAAGCACTTCAATACCTATTCTGCATCAGGTAATATGCATGAAAATAAATCTTTAAAACAATTAACTTAACCAGCTCTGCACTTCACTCCAACGGTGCATTTAACAAGTCTGCTATTTCCCAGGTAATAGAAGCTGTTCATAAAATTGTAAACGTGAAATTTTAAGAAACAAAAAACTGACCACATTAGAATTAAAGATGCTCAAAATAAACTCAAATATAACTACTGGATTTCCCTGAAAGCTTGAGTGAATCTACTTATACTCCCCAAAATTACTGAACAAATTGCAGACAGAGAAAGACACAGAAATAAAGTGAATCTTCCAGAAACAAAAGAAGTTTGTCAGCTACATAATAAACTGTGGACATAGTTATGATAAAGCAGTCCTAAAGGGCATTCTCTCTCTATGGAAAAAAAATAAAAAGCAATAATTTCTGTGTACTTCCACGATAGATTAAATGATTACATGCTCCATAATTCTTATGCAATCCCCAACAAGGGGGCTTTTCATAACTGTAGCATAAAGGATATGTAATCTGTGCTTTGTTCAACAGCTCAGAAAAAATAAATAAGCCTAACCTGGCAAAAATAAAATGGATGGCATAGAAACATCAAAATGGAAGCAATGAATGAAAACACTGCAGGCAGGTCCACCCATGGCACAACTGTGACTCGCATCAGTATGTTGTAACAACTTCCCACTACTTAAACTGGTGTGCGTTAGGGTTGCTCAGAAAAAAAATAAAATTCTTAAAAACAGGGTAAACCTAGCATCACAACGTAACCCCTACCACCACCCCCAGATCACCAGCTCTTTATGCTGCAGTCAAGGAGAGCACGTCCCAAACGGGAGATGGACGTGCAAACCTACTGGCGTTTCGGAGGGAGTGTTAATCAACACAAACAGGTCTCATCACCCCATCTCAAACACCAGACATGAAAATCTTCCACCTGAGCAGAGAAAAGCAAAGATTGGGGCTATTTACTTTCATATGAAAGACGGAAGGCAGAGCTAATACATTGCAAGTTACAGCTAACACAGGGAGAGTTGTTTGGGGCCAGCCAGCCATTGCTGTTCTTAATAAAGACACACAGACTTTCAATAAAATCAAAGACAACTGATTGAAAAACAATTAAAATGGGGAGGGGGGGGGGGAGATGTCGGTTGTTTAGGGTTTTTTTTTTTGCCATAGTACATAAGCTTTTGGGGGGGGGGGGGGGGGGGAGATGTCGGTTGTTTAGGGTTTTTTTTTTTGCCATAGTACATAAGCTTTTTGTCAAATCAGTACAACACAAGGATTCAAAAAGGACTACATACTGCATTAACACCCATAGTTAAAATCCAGCAGAGGTTTTTGGAAAGGACAACAGCTCACATCTACTGAAAGGAAGGAACTTTTCCAACATAAGAACTGCATAAAAACGCTCTTTTGCCCTTTACTCGGATGCACCTAATGAAAGTCAAACTAGATGGGAGGGGAGGGGGGAATGACACCAAAGTACATTGCTGCTTAGACAGCCCTGCTTCAGACTGACTTCCCAGCACAGTGTTTCTAGAGCATATGAAGACAAATTTAAAAAAAAAAAACATTTTAAAGTAATATTTGCTTGTTTTTGAACTTACACATCTTACACTTTTTCCCCTTCCACTCCCCATGTTGCAGCCTGACTCTTTTCTCCCTTTAGCTTTTTTTTTTTTTTATTTTCAGAAGTGCTCATGTATTTCTTTTCACATACTTGGAATAGATACTTGCTGTATCTGAGCCCCTCTGCCGCCCCACATTTTCCTTTCATTCCTGTACCACTGTCATCCAGGGATGCTGCTGCACATTCACATTTTCAGGAATACGGATCCAGGCTTTATGGACACCTCCTTTTAAGAGGATCACAGTTTTACTGTCTCCAATCAAGCTGTGTGTACCCCTGAAGAAGGTGAGGAAAACAGTATCCTCCAAAAAACACCGCTCCTGTTTTAATTCAAACTGCATTTCAGAGACGTAAAGAACAATCACAACTGAGTTCTAGGCAGCCACACAAAAATAAGCACCCAGTACCACATCACAGGGGCTTAAAATACCTCAACTAATTTGTTTCCCTCCCTCCTTTCTTCCAGCAGGTTAAAAAAAGGGGAGTGGCAGAGGGAGAGAAATAACCCCTGCCAAATATTTCTGAAAAAACACTACTGCTCTGAGAAAGTAGATATAAACACATTGCCTTTTCAGTTTTTAACTCCTCGAAAATCTGACTGCACATATTAGTGGCATAATCACATCACAATTTTATTTGTTTAGATCTGAGATCATTACTAATCTAAAATCACTTTGCAACTCCCAAACTGTTCTTCAGTGAACGGCAAGACAACATATTAATAACATGATTCAAAAATCCTCAGAGCTTAGCTGTTTCTTCTACTAGCCCATTAAATTGAAAGTACTTCAGTCACCAGGTATGATACAAAAATCCTGCCTATTTTATAACCGTAAATACAGATCCTGATCAAGTTTGTTTCAAACATTACTATAAGACATGCAGAAATCTCTTCACTAATATAAAAGAGTTTCATCTTATTTCTGCGCTAATTATAAGGGGAAGACCAATGTAACTATTCAACCTACAAGCAGCATTAATGACACATAACCATAAGGAAAATACTGAAGCCATTTACCCCAACAGGGCTAAACAGGAAAAAGCAAAAAGTCTATTCACGTTTGCAAATGCGCGTCTAAAAGACTGGAAAATTAAGAGAATCATCAAATTTTACTTCAGCATGAAAAAAGCCATCCTAGCAATCCAGGTCTAGTAGTAAATGATTTTCTTATCTCAACACAAATGAAATTACTATAATGTAATCCACATTACAGGATAGTAATGAAGAAGAAGAATCCACACGATTCTTTATTTCTCCCATAGTATTTTAAGATATTGAGGTAGATTGATTACATACTGGAGGTACAGAAATCCCCATTTCATTATCAGCTCCAGTCATCATGAGGAGAGATATTCCCACAGGGGCTTGCCAGAAGACAGATACTTTCCTCCAAAAAGAAAACACCGTAGAGTCAAGCTGACTGTTGACAACTGTTTCTGCAATGAGAATTGCAGACCAAAGCTACTGTAACAGGCAGAACAGACAGCAGAGGGTGGCTAATGTGGTTGTTGAATGGTCACTTTCATTTGTCTTCACAAGAGCTTTTATTCTTTCTTTTTAAAATGCATGACCATGCATGTTTTCTACCTGTTGTGGTAACTTTTAAGAAATTAGTCATTTAAAACCAGAACAGGCATCTATTAGTTCAACAGCCTCTTTCAGAAGGATAATTCATCCCAGCATGAGCTCTCAAACTGATGACATTCAATGAAGTCAGTAAGAAGACCCTTTTACTATTGTAGACCTTTGAGCTGACAGCAGTCAAGGCTATGAGCGGAGAAAGGAAAAGCAGCACATTTGCAGTCATCTTGGGTAACAAAGGTGCTACAAAGACAACAGCAAGAAGTATATTCTATTGGGTACTGGCTCTTTTAAAAGTGGTCATTTAGTACTCCTTCCATGTCAGTTTTGATGCACAACTCAAGTATACAATGTGATGAAACGCTCTCTAGGCTTTACTTCACCAGCCCAGAAGGCTGGTAAGAGAAGTTCAAAACTTCCAACTCTGAAGGTACATGAATAAAATATCTCTGTGTACATGCAAAAAATGTTACCAAAAGCAAAGACCTGAGTGATGCAACAGGATGCTGGAGGAAGTAGTTTATTCTCTTACCACTGTTCAAGTATTGCTAGTTGACTGTTTAGTAATAAACCTGATTGTGTCCTCATTTTAGCTCAGCTTTAGTACAGGCAGCTCACACACAATTATCTGTTGCAACAGAAGTTACTTACTGCTAATGAAGACAGAGCAATAAGCATGGGCAAGACTAATGATGGCTACTCAGGGTGTTCATACCAGCAAAATGAAAAATGCATCCTGAAACAAACCTCCCACGAAAATGTATTTAGGCATTTTTAAGTAATAAAAGCCTTACAAAAATACAGTTTTATAACAAAGTCTTTATGAAACTATTTCAACTCATTTTTTTTTGCTAACCTAGATAACACTGATTAATTATCTTATCACTAATACTCCAAAGACATGATCCATTTATGCATTTTTTTTGATCTCAGTTCTCCCTCACTTCCAAGAGACTCAGAAGCACAGAACATTTTACTATAGACCAAAGGCAGAGTTCTGAGCAGCACTGCTGACTACCTCTGCAGCTACAGTAGGATCTATTAGATCACAGATTTGCAGAGTTTGGGTTCCTTTCAAATTCCCAAACATTAGCACTTTAAGCACTCCAAAACATATGATGAGGTTTCAGTAGCATCTGAAGTCTTGATGTGCATAATATTCAAACAAAACCAGTGTAGCAACCCTGTAATAACAGCAAACACTAACGTATTAGGTTAGGTCTTAATAAAGTTACTTCCATCTTCTGAATCATCTCTGAACTTGAAATCTTCATATGAGCTTCAAATTGGTCGAATTCCTTTAAAAAGGTCTGGTTTCGCAGAAGAGCTCCTCTTTGTCGTTCATCTATTTCTTTCAAGTATTTTTTCAGCTTCATGTATTTTACTTTCATTCTACAGGGGAAAAAGAAACTGTGTTTAACAGAGTATGAAAATAAAACCAACACACCTGATACAATAACTTTTCTTCACTTATGTAGAAGGTGCTCCCCCAGCCCCACAAAAAGGAGTAGATACATTCTTCTGCACATTGCCCAAAGCTACAGAATCACAGAATCCCATGGGGTTGGAAGGGACCTCTGGAGATCATCCAGTCCAAGCCCCTGCCACAGCAGCTCAAAACAGCGCAGGTTGCACAGGAACATGTCCAGGTGGGGTTTGAATGTCTCCAGAGAAGGAGACTCCACCCCCTCCCTGGGCAGCCTCTGCCAGGGCTCTGCCACCCTCACAGGAAAGAAGTTCCTCCTCATCTTTAGGTGGAACTTCTTATGGTCAAGTTGGTGCCCCATTGTCCTATCCCTGGGCACCACTGAAAAAAAGACCGGCCCCATCCTCGACTCTACCACTGAAAAAAGACTGGCCCCATCCTCGACTCTCTCCCTTGAAGTATTTATAAGCATTGATCAGATCCCCCCTCAGCCTTCTCTTCTCCAGACTAAAAAGACCCAAGTCCCTCAGCCTCTCCTCCTAAGGGAGATGCTCCAGGCCCCTCATCATCTTTGTAGCCCTCTGCTGTCCCCTCTCCACCAGTTCCCTGTCCTTCTGGAACTGGGGAGCCCAGAACTGGTCCCAGTGCTCCAGATGGGGCCTCCCCAGGGCAGAGCAGAGGGGCAGGATGACCTCCCTCCACCTGCTGGTCCCACTCTTCCTGATGCCCCCCAGGATGCCATTGGCCTTCTTGGCCACAAGGGCCCATTGCTGGCTCACGGTCATCCTATTGTCCACCAGGACTCCTAGGTCTTTCTCCTCAGAGCTGCTCTCCAGCAGGTCACCCCCAACCTGTCCTGTTATTTCTCCTACATTATACAACTGACAGGGAGTCTCTTATATGACTTCACATTTAAATAGGGGTTTAGTGCTCAAAAGGATAAGTATATTTAAAAACTCTTGTAATTTTGTTTCAAATGGATTACATTTTAGTCATATCACATTGAAACAAAATGAAAATTGTATTTAGAAGAACATACAAATGGTGACATTAAGGCTGCAGTTTCACAACTGCTTTAAGCCAAACTAAATCCATGCTGCCACCAGAAAAGACATCGCACTTGAAGCCTTTCTTTTTTGTGCCAATGCTATCTGCTATGTGCCACGTGACAAATTAGGCCAAGAGTAATCCAGCTGAAAATCCATCTAAATCAGTTTTTACACACTCAAAAAACCAGATTCCCTTCAGACAGACCTATATTCTTATCTGATGAGAGGGCAGCCACACAAGCGCCAGTGCCAACAAAGAGAAAATGTGAACCAGGGGCCATCAGGAGCATCTTTTGGTCTCTCTCTACCTACAGGTCTACTTAAAACAGTTGTGGAATTGAAACCTAAATCCCCCAAAGCTGCCAATATTTTCAGAGAAATTTCAACTCAAAGACTGTTAGACTAAAAAAAAAAAATCAAATGAAACCACAAAACAAAGTACATGGGATGTTTCCCCACCTGTTCAGGCTTTCTTTTTTTCTTAAATGTATGTCTTTATTTTCTAATTTAAAGACCTTTCAGAAGAGGACTTCCCAAGGGATTGACCGTTATTGCAACTAGTCCTCAGTCCCTTGAGACGAGATAGAAAAATCACCTCTATGAGCTTTACAAAGCACATTTGAGGAAAGGAACATTGGATGAGATGCTTCTCAGCCCTCTTTTGTTGTTGGGTTTTTATGTTATTTTTTCAGACTGTGTATGCATTTTACATTATATTGGTAACACAGAAAAAATACAGGCAGCAAGACCAGAACCTGGAATATCCTTTAGGAATTCCTAAAACTTTCAGACTTTCTATGACCCTAGGGCTTTCTAGGATGAACAGCGATTTTGTAAAAGTTACATAAAACCAGCTTGCATGTTAGTTATTACTAACTACTATAATAAAATTTCAGTATTAATAGAATAAGATCGTTATCACTAAAGTTATTTAATCCATAACTTAGAGATATGAACCTTACATTATACTTAACATTTGAATATACATTTATTGTCATAAGAAAACGTCAAGATAACATTCTGAAAACATCCCATGATATTTAAGTCTTTGTAATTAAAATAAAACAACCTAGAAGAAGCTTTTAAGGCTTACAGGTATACATCAGACCTCATGTATTCCATCAGTTTTCTTTCTAATTCCAGCCTTTTGGCTTCACTGGAAGAAAACAAAGAACATATAGTAAGATAAAACTATTTCACACTTTAAATTGTCAAAACACAAGAAATAAAGCGTTTCACAGAGCATAACCTTTTCAGAGCAGACAGGACATTTTTGCCAGATTGGTAGTCTTACAGACTGATCTGCCAGCCAATCTCAGCACAAAAAACCCCACAACAAACTGGCAGATCAGTCTGTAAGACTACCAATCTCAGCACAAAAAACCCCAAACCAACAAAATCCAAACCTCAAAGCTTTTACAACTTTGCTCCTCCTTGGAACAAGGGCTAGGCTGTTCTGGAAGGAAAAGATGCTTGAACACGTATATATCCACACAATCCAAACTCTCTCCTGGCATACAGACACAATACATTTTATTTAGCAGTTTGAACTTAAAAACAAGTACAGATTTCACAGTTATGCATTAAAGCCAGGTACATCTAGAGATATGCTAGCACTACCTGCCAGAACTTAAAGTGTAACAGGAGATATGCTAGCACTACCTGCCAGAACTTACTAAAGTGTAACAGATATAAGTAGCCACCAAAAATATTTATGGTTGTGAAAATGCTATGGGACCATCTATATCTGCCAAAAGCAATGCAAGGGTATAGGACAATAGGGATGATCAGGCTGCTTAAGAACAAACTCTTGGCTCATCTGCAATTTATTTCAAAGAGAATCTATTTTCAGGAAGAAAAAAAAAAAGGGTAAAGCTGATCTAATTTAATAATTATAAATTGCATCTGAAGATGAGCGGCCATTCCATGAGCAAAGAAAAATTAAAATAATCAGTTGATATAACAGAAGCTTCCAGTACAACCCTGCAACAATCAAAGCAAGTATACCAAGTTGCTTATTAAAAACTAATATCAAATTCCTATTAGCCAGGAAGGCTGAATATATGCAAGTGGTATGGGCAGAGGCATGAGAGTGCATGCACCAGTATGGCCAGGCACGCTTACCTATGGGTTTGGGCACTCCCCTACAAACACATCCAGCTCATAGCCACACACACTTGCCTCCTCCCAGTTGCCCTGCACAGAGGAAAGCAAGGAAAAAAAACCCTTTCTGCTTCTTAGTCTGAGAGATCAAGGCATGCATTTTATCCATCTGATCCTGCCACTGTCTGAAACAAGATTAGGTTTTCATGTCATGTATGCAATTTAAAAGCCACGCTTCATCTGGGATCTCATCCTTTCAATTTCCTTTTACATGACGGACAGCTAAGCAAAAGCAGATTTCAAGATCTTGTTTTTACACTTCTAGAAGTAATTTTCATGACTCAATGAAGAACACTGATATCCTGATGGATGTAAAAGCCGATGGATGTGAACAGCCATTGGCTCCAATCCTATTTCTCACTCTGATACCACAGGTAGCACATCACATTCCCTAGCTCCTCAAAGATTGTTTCCTTTCTACCAGCATGGTTTTTCAGTATCCCATTCATTAGTCTCTGCTACAGCACATGAATATATAAGTATGGTGATCTCAAGGCAAGACAAAGCAGCACAAAAAAACACCAGGTAAGAGCCTCTCAGCATTTGAGTATCATCATTATGGATGCCTAAAATGGTTACTGCACAGCTTGTGGTGTTTTACGACACAGCTCTGTGCAAACACTGAATTAGAGGCAATCAAGACTTTACTTGTAGATTTGCTGCTTGCCCAGGTTCTGGCAAGGCTCTAGCACGGTGTCCGTGTGTCAGTGACAGAAGTGAAGCTTGAAGCAGTACAGGGATCATCCCAGCCACCCCATTGCACTACCACCTCCTTTTTACATGAAAAGACAAAGCTCTCTCCCCGAAACTTTCATTTGTTCACACCATTTTGCATTAGGTTAAAGTGATACAAACAGTTAGGTATCGGCTTTTTCCTCAAATGGGCAAAAATAGCACACTTCAGAACTTTTTAAAGATCCAGGTGGCTCTTTTTCAAACAACCATGAATCTTCAGTCTATAGAGAGCAAGTGTTAGTTCGGGATTTGAGGACAGAATTAAATTCCCTGGTCAGCAACAAGCTCACTCTAATCTCTGGCATTCCACCAGGCATCGATCTCTAGTGATATTTGATCCCTCACCTCCCATTTAAGCCAGCAGGACTAAGATGTCTCAATATTTTTGAGATATCAGGCCTTAGTCTCTTTGTGCTCCGGCTCCGCATCCGTAATGTAGGAATAGCAGTACTACTGCCACGATACCCTGTTGAGATAAGTACATAGAAAATTGTGCAACACTCAGGCACAATGCAATCTTCCCATAAAAGTAAGAAACATTATTTTTTACAGTTGTTTTTCTACGCTAGTCTGGCATTAAATCAACTGTTGAGCACTGAGCTGCATCCACCTTAGCAGCCCGGAGCCTGGCCAGAGCCTGCTCAAGCCTTAGCCCCCTGCACTCATCCCCAGGGGATGCTTAGAGGGGGCCCGTTTAGCATCATCCTCTACAGACAACTGATACCAGCAGATATTTCTGAAACTAATAATCCTACCTGGGTTTACATTCACTGTTCAGGACATCTTACTATTTGTACACGTTTACTGGAAATCGCCCTTAGCGTGAAGCATCTGGCCTCATCATCCGAAAAGCAGAGCTAATTGCAAAGTTAGTCACAGTGTTAAGTGCAGCACTTAACTATATAATTTATTTACTTCATGGCCTTTCTCACCAGCAACCACTGAAGATTAAGTACTGAGTAATCACAACGTGGTCAGGTGTGTATAAAACACAGAAGGTAAACTCTCTGCCCCATTTC